GTGTGCTCCATGTCTATGCCTGGAGGAGCTGAGTGAGAAAAATTGTCTCTTTTTCCTCTTTCTCATGGCTCCAGGGAACGTAAACAGAAATGAGCTGTACCTTGCTTTTTAACTCAAACAGGATGCTGTTCCTTAATGTGGCTTGCATCAATATTGCTGCAGACAAAACGAAACTATTATGAAACAAAACAAAACCATTATCAGACGAAAGCCATTGAGAGAAATAAGAGAGCTCATCGTTAGGAGATGATGTGAACCCAATTTAATGTTTCTAAGTGCTACCTCCAGGCTGCTGCCTCAGGGAAGGGCAGTCTTTGCAAGCAATTGACCTGTGCTCCTCTCCTGTGAGCAGAGAGAACAAACAAACCAGGACAGCTCCATTTCACCCATCAAGCCCAGAACCCAAATTCTGGTTGGAAAGGCTCATTCCTGAGAGCCTGCAAGGTCTGGACCCAGGGAGACCACCACTGACAAGCCCCACCAGTCACAGCCTGGGCTTGGCACTGGCAGTGGGCATCCCTCCTAAAGACAACCCTTCACATCTACAGGGCCAGGCTCTGTGTTTTCAGTCACACAACACAAACTGGATTTTTGGATGCGTGCAGGTGCATCCCAGAAAGCAGAGAGACATTTGTGGTTTCAATTCAAGTGGATTGCAGCTGAAAAATAGCTGATGCTGTGAAATAGAGGGAAAAATTGAGTCCTTCAAAACTCATTGCAGCTGAGGAGGAGGGGATCTACAAAACACAAGTACTTGGTTTCCTAAAAAAGATGACATTCCAAATGACCAGGACTTTAAAAGGACATATAAACAAACAGAAAAGGACATGAAGAAATGCTTATGCAATGTGCAGAACAGCTGGGATAAAATTAGAGAGGTTTTCCTCACCCTTCTCTTATGCTTCTTGAGAAATGATGGTGCCTTCTGCATTTGAACCTCGTGGTGACATCAGCAGAGAACACAGGAGAGACTAAGACCTTCACCATCTTCAGTCTGAGTAACCTGCCAGCGACACTTCCATCAGTACAACAAAGAGAATTATCCCTTTGCCACCTCTCTCACTAATAATTCAACAGGCAGTCATACCCAACAAATCAGATAATTAAGTAGAAAACCCTAAAAATATTTAAGACATTCTAACTCCCCTTTTTACTTTTTCTACAGAATAATCCACCCAACATCAGTGATTTCAGGGCCTGAAATACTTTGGAAGGCAGTTCCGAGTTGCTATTTGAAGCACACTTAAGTCATGCAAATCTCTATTTTTACTTAACACACTCTGATCCGCGCAGGGAACACTCCCTTACACGGGGCGGAAGCCAGAGGTCCTTCCCCCAGACAACTGAAAAATCCAGCCCTGGCAATAGCTATTCACAGGGCAGCGTCGGACAAACCGCTCTGGGTGTGCCCAATCTGCAAAAGCTGGTCTGTGCAAGTGTTTCATCGTGTGCTCTTATGCCCCTCAATTCCCCAAATCATGAAACAAAGATCATTTTGTACAAAACATTCATAATAAATACAGCTATCATTAAAAAATAATAAGGAACTTGCCCCTGTTGCTTTACTCTTATCTCTTAACGATGAGAAAAATGTACTTAGTTCTGAGAAGTTGAGTGATGAGATCTGGATACCCAAGAGCCCCACAGCATGAAATCTTAGCAGTACAAAAGATCTAAAAAAGACCCTAAAATCTTAGGAAAAGCAGAGTGAAAAGCTGATGAATTAATGCATCTTCTCCATGATATGACAGAGGCAGCCTCTTCCCAGGCACCACTCCCTGTAGGCAAACATACCCTTCCTGAGGTCACCTTGAGATCTTTCTGGCTGTGCCATCAAACCAAAGTCCTTTCTCCTCCAAAATAAAATTAGGAATAAACACATTCAGTGAATAGTATGAAGAGGCACAGCTCCAGCTGCAGCCAGAGTAACAAGAACACATCCTGCAGCCTTCCTCCTCCTCCTCCTCCCTTCCAGCTCCAGCAGGTACCCAGAGCCCCAGGGAACCCCCTCAAACAGAGACCATTCTGCTCCAGGTGCCTGAGCAGTGACCAGGCTGGCAATGGTCCCCCGCACAGGTCACCCTAACTTCTTGGGCTGCAGAATCACGCTCATTGCAGAGCTTCCCCTGCCTACATGGAGAGCAGGATGGGACCCTCTTCCTTGAGTCCCCAGTGTCCTCTCTCCTCTCCCACACACGCTGTGCAGTGCATCCTCACATTGCCCACGGGAAGGTGAACACACACGGCTGCTAATTTGTCATGAGGGAGGCAACACGCTGTGCCCACCCAAGCCCCAGAGCTGCTGCTGGCTGTGATATTATCAGCAGCCGCTGCCCAGGCTCTGCAGGGCTCAAAGCTATTTCATAGACAATAGGACACTTCAAGGCAGTCCCGTAATTGCATGCTAATGGCCCTTCCGAGAGCTCTGCGTGGCAAAAAGGCTCCTGCACGGATCTGCTAATTGCTCATCTGCCACCCTGCAGTAATGCCACACACTTGGCTATAGTCCCAGGGGATACACCCCAAAAATATATACATATATTTTAAGTGACATTTACAGATGACATGTCAACACCCAGCATTTCTGTCAACTGCAGACCTGGAAAATAGAAGCACAAAAAGCCTCCAATAGCCTTTCAGCCATGGATGGACACCATCTGGGTTTGAGCACCGCTCCTCTTTCAGGCCATCCTGGGTGTCACAGGAGCTCTGTCTTACCAGCCCACTTGACCAGAACCCCTGCTTTGAAAAGCTCTGCCCTCAAACCCACCCGCTGATGGTGGTGGTTTGCTCTGTCCCTTGCCTTCCATGCACAACTTGCAGCAGCTTTGGAGGCAGCCAGCGTAAAGGCCACTCGAGGGGAGGTTTTCACCTGCCCTACACGAAGGTGCCACCTGACTTGTGCCAACTAAAAGCTTGAGTTGCCACTTGGCTCACCAAGCATTAGAAGATCTGCACACCGGAGGTAATCAGTGGTCTCCTGCAGCCAGTTTTATTTCACAGGTGCCCACCCTGGGCTGGAGCTTTAACTCCCAAATTTCCACACTGGCAGTGCCCATTGCTGAGCCGCAGACTGTTCTGCTGCAGTGCCATTCTGCCTGAACTGGCCCAAATATATCATGATTTGTGATGGCAAACAAATCATCTACCGGCATCGCTGCTCCTGTAGTCTCATCCCTTGCTCAAACACAAGCTTCACACAGCCCATGTACACATACACGTTCTACACGCATAACTTATCTCCCTGATGTCTGCCAAAATTGTTCAGAAGGATTCGGATTCAATAGATAATTCTTCTGGAATAAAACACCACTCACCCAGGTTTGCTCTCTGTTGCCCCGTTGCCCCACTCGGAAGGGTGACAGCTCCCCATTAGCTCCCAACACATGAACAAAGGCAGGAGCTACTTAGGATGTGATGGAGACAAAACGCTCTGGATATCAGCTGGTCCCTGGCAGACTTAGGGGGGCTGGTGGCAGCGATGTTGTCAGGGCCATTGTTAAGGCCCACTTAGTTCCCAAGCTTCCAGTGATTTCACAAACAATGATATTTTTCCAGAAAAGGGATGATTATGAATAAATAAAATACCAAGGCGCGCTGTACAGTACAAAGCATTGTTCCACCACTTGTGTTTATATTTGTGTTCAACATGGGCGGGAGAGCTCAGGCCAAAATAAGCAATGTCATTTACTTATTAAAAGAAGATAAATATCTGTTTCTCATCATGCATTTCTGCCATAACTCTAAACACAGGAGAGAGAAAGCATCTACAGGCTTCTTTCCCTACAACCAGAAAGATGGCTCAGGCTTCCAGCACGACACCTGCCCTCCGAAGGATGCTCCACTGCCCTTTGCTGGGACAAGCTGCTTCCCGTGGTTCCACACTCAGCCTTTTTAAGGCTGCAATCCAAGCCCTGCTGGTGCTTACGGCGATGATGTAGTGGAAGCTGCCACATGTTTAAGCTTTCCCTAACTGTCCCCTACGGTCTACTAAGTATAATTACCAAATAATGTGAGCGAACATGAATGTGTCCTCGGCAATTAGGGTGCCGCCATGGAAGGGCTATCAGCTACTCAAGCTGTCTCTCTTGCTGGGGGTCTCTGGCCAGCCACCATTATCACCCTACCCCATCATCTCGCACACGTTAGCAGAACGCCACGCACCACTCCACTTTCCCCCAAAGCAAAGCTTCTGACAGGTTGCTGCTCAGGATTTCAGGCAATAAAAATAACAAACTATCAGTGTTTTAAGGACCAGGTGTTCATAGGAAGGATTACGAGCCTGTACAAATGGTGTAGTTGCACTT